CCAAAAATTTACAGAGGAAAGGTGCTAGGAATAATGTTGAAGTCTCATATTTGGTATTAAAAAAATCACTTTTGGGGTGCCTGGTTGGCTCAGTGGGTTAAGCAGCTGCCTTTGGCTCAGGTCATGATCCCTGAGTCCCTGGATTGAGTCCTGCATCGGGCTCCCTGCTCAGCAGGGAGCCTGCTTCTCCCTGTGCCCCTCACCCCGCTCATGCTCTCTCTCAAATAAATAAAATCTTTTTTTTAAAAAAGACTTTATTTTTCTTTTTATTATTTATTTATTTATTACTGTTTTACTTATCTATTTGAGAGAGAGCACGAGTGGGGCGAGGGTCAGAGGCAGAGGGAGAAGCAGGCTCCCTGCCGAGCAGGGAGTCCCATGCGGGACTCGATCCCAGGACCCTGGGATCATGACCCCAGCCGAAGGCAGCCGCTTAACCGACTGAGCCACCCAGGTGTCCCTCAGATAAATAAATAAAATCTTAAAAAAAAAAAAAAATCACTTTTGGGACACCTGGGTGTCTCAGTCGGTTAAGCATCTGCCTTTGGCTGGGGTCATGGTCCCAGGGTCCTGGGATCAAGTCCCACATAGGGCTCCCTGCTCGGCTGGGAGCCTGCTTCTCCCTTTGCCTGTCTTTCCCCTTGCTTGTACTCTCTCTTTCTACCAAATAAATAAATAAAATCTTTTTTTTTAAAAAATTACTTTTATAGGCCCCAAAAGGGGGATAGGGAAATGCTCATCAGTTTGAGGTGGAATTGTAGTTGACAATGAATTCAAACCGAGACCCCATAGTCTGCAAAAATGCCTGGAGTGTTCTCTGTGGGTCTCATGTTTCAGCGACTTCCTGACAAAGTGAGGTGAATGCAGAGGGGAGACTCTCGGATGGTGAGTGGCCTGGAAACCACATTTGCACACAGGAGGCTGAAGAAACTGGGTTTTTAGCCCCAAAGGGGGAAGCCTCCAGGGGGACAGGATGTTAATCTTTAATGATAAGAGGGCCATTATGTGGATGCGCATTTAGCCGCATTCTGTGTGGTTCCAGAGGAGAGGACTACTGGGTAGAGGTTGTGAGGAACAAATTTTTGGCTTCGTGGAAGGAGGAGCTATTGATCTCTTTAAAAATGGAATGGGTTGTCTCATAGATAAAGTACTGAGGTTTTATAGTCCCTGGGAATTTGAAGCAGAAAATAGACTGAAGAGTGGCCTAAGTTTTATGTGTTACATTCTACATATTTAAAACTAACAGTGCTGGAAAAAAAAACAAAACAAAAACCAAAAACTAACAATGTTGGGAGAATTGTGGGGTTAATGTTCTTTTTCAGGGACTGTTTAATGTGGGCTTCTAAACCAAATCTGGGCATCTGATTCGGAGTGGGCCTGCAAGCTTTGTTCTGTTCTGGATCAACCTATGTGTGTGCTTTCCTTACTTTTAGTTCTACAGCTGATGCTGGGCCTTAGTGCTAGGACTAGTCTCCTGCTCCAGGAGAGCCCATGTAGGTTGGCTTTCATGACCATTCCGGAGCATCTCTCTCTCTCTCTCTCTCTCTCTTTTTAAGATTTTATTTATTTACTTGAGAGAGCAAGCAAGAGCAAGCATGAGCTGGAGGGAGGGGCAGAGGGAGGAGCAGGAAGCTGAGCAGGGAGCCTGGCGCCAGATCCCAGGACTCTGAGATCACGACCTGAGCCTAAGGCACGTCCAACTGACTGAGCCACCCAGGCGCCCCTCGGGAGCATCTATTTAGGTGATTGTAGGAGTGGCTTCTTCAAAGCTTCTCCTTCCTCCAAAGCAGGTCAAAGCAGGAATGGAGCTGCACCTGAGTCAAGGGTCCAGGGTGATTTCAGTCCGTCTTCTTGTGGACTTGGCCCGGTGATGGGTGGAGATGGAGTTACACCTAGTGGTAGGAGGGTAGGGCATTTCTGTCCTTGAGGACTTGCGGTTGCCTCCATATTATTCTAAGTCCGTGGTCCCCTCCTTTCTCTGCCTCTGAAGCAGGAGGCTGGGCTCCACCTTAAGAACAGTGTACTAGGCTGGGCTTTGGGGTCTCTGGTCAGCTGTGTCCGCTGTGGGTGAGGACCAAGAGCCCAGGCAGCGGTGCTGCCTGCCATACCCATTTCCTGCTCCCATGGCCAAGAGGCCCCAGAGGAAGCTGGACTTTGGAGAAGGTGAGGGCCAGCTCTCTTCAGGCAGTTCCTCTGCTCCTGGTTTCTTTCCAGAGGATTCCCTTCTTCATTCAAACCAAGTCCGTGTGCTTAGTACAGAGAGTAGATCAGGGCAAGATGGTGGGTCAGTGGCTGAGAAATAAGGCTCAGGTGCGGGGGAGGGAGAAAACTGGCGGGTCAAAGGAAGGATACAAATGGATGGATATGGAATTCAAGTAGTGAAGCAGTAGGGATTAGAATGCAAACGATCCATATATTTTCATTTCAGAATTTGTTGTAGTAAAGGATGATGAGTTGTCTGTTCGCTGCCCGCATGCCTGGACAAAGCCGAGAGCAGATCCCTGTGGCACATGGCTGCAGACTGACTCTGATCCAGAACTAGTCCCTTCAGCCTATCCTGGCTTGGTGTTGGGACCATCCATCTCAATGAGGTGATCCCGTTCCCTTATGAAGAGGGCAGCATCAGGTGCCTCTGGTGTTTCTTTTTATTTTTTTTTAAGTAGCTCTACACCCAGTGTGGGCCTTGAACTCAGGACGCTGAGAGTTGCATGCTCTACTGACTGAGCCAGCCAGGTGCCCCCCCATTTTTTTTTTTTTGGTCCCTCATGTTTTTCTTTTTGTAAAGATTTTATTTATTTATTTGAGAGAGCGAGCGAGCATGAGCAGGGTGAGAGGCAGAGGGAGAGGGAGAAGCAGGCTCCCCACTGAGCAAGGAGCCCGATGCGGGCCTCGATCCCAGGACCCCAAGATCACGACCTGAGCCGAAGGCAGACGCTTAACCGACTGAGCCACCGAGGCGGCCCTGTCCCTGGCGTTTCTAATCAGAAACCTGGGCCGGGTCCTGTTTGTAAGGCAGCAGCAGAGTCCAAGGGTGAGGCGTAGGGGTTACAGGATGGAGAGAAGGGACATGAGGGCTACTGAATGGCTGGAAACAGAAGTCCAGTGGGGAGTAAAGGATGGGTGATTGACTGCGGAGGATCAACGGACCTGAAAGATTTGTGGAGGGTGAGATACAGGCACTTTGGTCACTTTGTGGGGTGCTTGTGGAGATTGTGTGCTTGTGTCTTTAATTATTAACTTAGCACGGAGGAATTACGGGAGTAGTCTTGCCCAGCCCTGTGATCAGGTTTGGTTGTTTATTGTCTTGTTTATTAGGCAGAAAAGCAAGTGTTTGTATAGGAGTAGGAGGCCCCGTCTAGGGAAGAGCAGAAAAGAACTTGGGCAGCCAGTAGACTAGGAAGGCGTGTAAGGGAGGGAGAGGGAGAAACCGAAGACGAGCCAGCTGCTCCCTGAGGTTGGTCTTTCCTGCTTCTCAGGATGAAGATGCTTCTGGGCCAGGGTGGTGAGGCCAGGACACAAGACAACAGGAGGATTAGGGACGGTGAAGGAGGAGGCTTCCTGTGTTGGTGGCCTGAAGCTGGCAAGCCCAGCACCAGACCTCCCTTTCTCCACTGGGAAGGCAGGCTGATTCTGACCTTGCCCTTTGAGCTCTTGCAAGGACTGGCAAGCCCTCCCCTTGGGGCTTCCGTGGCTGAGCCAGGAAGGCAGACTCAGTGAGGTGATGGGCTGCCACAGTGGAGGCGGGCTCCCTGCACGCTTCAGGCACCGGTGCGGGATCTGGAACCTTCAGCTGGCTCTCAGAATCCTTTTCACTTTCTTCCTGGCCACATCCTGGGGCTAGGGGTCAACCTCACAGCATCTGTGGGCTTCCCTTCTTGATTTTCTTTCCTCTGAAGTACTGGATTGAAACTTTTTTAGGGGTAAGGGATTTCTCCGAGATTCTGACAAAGGCCATGGACCTTTTTCTTAGAAAAGTGCATATACTGGGGGGCGCCTGGGTGGCTCAGTCGTTAAGCGTCTGCTTTCGGCTCACGTCATGATCCCAGGTCCTGGGATCGAGCCCCGCATCGGGCTCCCTGCTCTGCGGGAAGCCTGCTTCTCCCTCTGCCACTCCCCCTGCTTGTGTTCCCTCTGTCGCTGTGTCTCTCTCTTGTCAAATAAATAAATAGGATCTTTTTTTAAAAAATGCATATACTTTGGACATATGTATGTAATCATTTACAAGGAATTTCAGGCCTTGTGGAAGCCCTAGGTTAAGAACCCTGGCTCTAAGGGTGATCCATGAACTTTCCCAAAGCTCGTCTGGTTAAAGGGATTGCCTCTACCCCAGGGTAGGACTTAAGGAATGTTTGTGGCTCACCCTTTTGCATTGTCTGGTCAGGAAAAATGCCATCCCCACTCTATAGGAACCTCGGCTCCAAGGATCTTTCCAAGTACAAAAACAAGCGGCTGAGCTGGCAGGCAGTAGCAGGAAGTCTGGCCTCCATTCTAATCCTTGGCCACATGTCCTGACCTGCTGGCCCAGCACTGGATAAGTCACAACAGGATTCGTCAAGGTTAACAATACCACAGAGCGCTGAGTCCTGGAGCCCGTATCAGGAGGTAGAGGGGTGCAAACCTGGGAGGATGGTGACTTTTCAGAGCCAATAGCCAGAAAACATCACTAATCCTGTATGGCTACTGGTTACCTCCCACTGCTGTGAGCACTGTTGTATGTAAGCAAATCCAGTTACTTTGTGTTTCCTCCCAGGTAAGTGCTAAAGGGTGTGTGTGGTGCTGCCTACACAGATGCTTAGCAGGAGCCTTTGAATGCTAACGGTGAGGACCTGCTGGGCAGAGGTTTTGAATACAGAGCAGATCAGAGCCCAAACAGTCTTTGGCCAAAGATGACTGCTATTGGAAATAATGCTTGCGGGGGGGTGTCTAAGGTTCTTTGGGTGGTAGGGTTAGTTACCAATCAGAATTATTTTTTCAGTCACCGAACAGAATTATTTTTTCAGGTCTCTTAACCTTTGTTAACTGTGCCTACGTCAAGTGGGGAACGCTGGTACAAGATATCTTCACCTATGCTAAAGTATTGGCGCTGATCGCTGTCATCATCGCGGGCATTGTTAGACTTGGCCAGGGTAAGCGGAAGAGCAATGAACTCTTGAGCATTTTCTTTGAGTCCTACTTCTTTTTTTTTTTAAAGATTTTATTTATTTATTTGAGAGAGAGAGAATGAGAGATAGAGAGCACGAGAGGGAAGAGGGTCAGAGGGAGAAGCAGACCCCCCTGCTGAGCAGGGAGCCCGATGCGGGACTCGATCCCGGGACTCCAGGATCATGACCTGAGCCGAAGGCAGTCGCCCAACCAACTGAGCCAGCCAGGCGCCCTGAGTCCTACTTCTTTAAATGCCCTTTGTGCATTCTCATTTGCTAGGTGCCATAATTTTCATTTTCTAGAGGAGACTGAGGCTGCAGAACTAAGTATCTTGCCCAAGTCCCTAGCTCCTAGTACGTCAGTGGGGATTTGTACTCAGACTGACCTCAAAGCCTGTCTTCTCTGCATGCTCCCAGAGGCGGCTGATCTTGGCAAAAGGGCTGACCATCATGCCCTGGGAGCCGGCTTTAGCCGACTGTCCAGCCCAGTGCTGTAGGCTATGATTGTTCTGCCCTTGGAAGTTCTGCAAGGGCAGAAATGAACTCCTTGTATCCACTCCTCTCCAGTTTCCAGGTAGGAACACCTGCCCCACCAGTCTGTTGCCCTGGGCATAAGGAGCGCTATCCTTTCTCCATCCTGTGCCAGCTGTTTGTGGTGTTAGCAAGGGGGTAGGAATGGGGCAGCTTACAGGGCAGGGCAGAACCACATCACTTCTGTTCTATAGGCCTGCTCCGTAGTGGTTTCTTACCCTAGAAAGCCATCACAGTCCTTCCTGTCAAGAGCCCCGTGCTGTCCCCTGCACTCCAGCCTATCACTGTAGGGGTCTGTCTCCTCTTCCCTGTTCTTTGACCAGCACCCTTGCTGCCCAAGGTGTTCTAAGCCACTCACTTGCTGTAAGCATCATGTTCTCCCACTCCTTTTCTGGATCTCTTTGAAGCTGGGGGTAGGCCACTAATCCTGCCTTTCCATGTTCTCTGGACTCTAGGAGCCTCAACGCACTTTGAGAATTCTTTTGAGGGTTCCTCATTTGCAATGGGTGATATTGCCCTGGCACTGTACTCGGCTCTGTTCTCCTACTCGGGCTGGGACACGCTCAACTACGTCACTGAAGAGATCAAGAATCCTGAGAGGTAGGTATCTCACCATCAGTCTTCCATGGCAATAAGGATAGCTGTCCTTTACTGAGAGCACACCACAACCACCGAGACAGATTTTATCAGTGCCACTTGACTAGATGGGAGGCCTGAAGGCCAGAGAGATAACTTGTCCCGGATAACAGGCCTTGTCACAACTGTCCCTTCATTCCTGCATTCATTACAGCAGGTCGTACCATGTGTTCATATGTGCTTTCTCATGGGTTTTCCTTGATATTCACCCACCCTTACTCCCACATAGATAACTTTGGGTCATAGATGCCCCAAAACTTTCCCATTTTCCTTTTGAGCCCTTCCTGCTTTCTCAAATGTGTACTGACATAGTGGTATCGTGTCAGCATTTAACAGCATTACTTCAGCCTGGTTATTCTAAATTATTCGGCCGTCATGCAGAGTGACAAGAGCACTGGACAGGGAGTCAAAGGGCCTGGAGCCTGTCTTTCCACTGATTTGAGTCCCCTGCCAACTCTGCCTGCTTCCTTATCTGTAAATTGACGGGGTTGAATTATATGATCTCTAGAGCCCTTCCTGGCTCTAAAATTCAGATTCTTGGAACTAAGATTACCAGGGAGTGGAGTTTCTGTAAATTTTTAAGTCAAAATAATAAACTCCTCTCGGCACACCGCCAGTGTTGCAATCCCCGGAGCAAATGCTAGAAGCAGGACCAAAGCCTGGGTGGTGCTCCCACCTACTGGACAGAAGCTAAATGACTTGAGTATGCCCCCTCCCCGTCACTGTGAAGAATGGTTTATGAAGGTCAGAGCTTTATTGGTCTAGAGGACCCTGTCTTTGTGTTTTTCTCTTAGCCACTGGTTAGGATGGCCCCCCAGGTTCTCACACTGAGTAGGAGGATGGAGTGAACACAGTTCCCAGGTTGCTTATTTGGATATACACATTGTTCTTGTCAGTGAGGGCCTTATTCTCTGGATTTCACAATTTGCCTAATTTCCTCTTGTTATTTCTCAACCTTAAGACAAATTTCCCATGTTGGCAATCTTAAGAAGGAATCCTGACACCAAGAGGCCTTGGATGTAAAAAAAAAAAAAAAAACAAAAAACCCAAAAACCCACAAGCCCCCCTGCCTCCCTGCCATTTCCTGTGCTATCACATGGTGACATTGTTCTCTATTAATCCTTGTTCTGCTGTTTGGTTAGCCTTCTCTCTAAATGTGATATTGCTTTCCTTTGATGCTCTTTAAGCTCTGAGCTCAAGAATGAAGTCACTGTTGTACACAGCTTCAAAGGCAAAAGCACTGGGGAAACGCACAGGAGGCCCCATCCCTGGATTGGTGTGGGAGTCTGAGGATTAAAGGAGATGGGGATGTGACCCTGGGACTAACGTGTGCATTATTCTTTTTGGCTGTAGGAATCTGCCCCTGTCCATTGGCATTTCCATGCCCATTGTCACCATCATCTACATCTTGACCAATGTGGCCTATTACACCGTGCTAGACATGAGGGACATCCTAGCCAGTGATGCCGTTGCTGTGGTAAAGGATTTTCACTAGCTGAAGGCTGAGGGTGTGTTTGTGGGCCTCTCGGAATACTGCAGCTCCAGTCCTGGAGAGGGGGTAGTCCTTGGAAGGAGTATGCGTAGGGGTACCTAGCTGGCTCAGTTGGTTGAGTGGGCAGACTCTTGATCTTGGGGTTTAGAGTTTGAGCCCTGTTTGGTGTAGGGATTACTTAAATCTTAAAAAGTATGCTTCGGATACTGCGTTTACAAGGTTGTCACTCCAGCTGTGGAAGAAGGGTTGGCTAGTTTCGGGGCCGTCTCGGGACATGCTTGCATCCTTTTTAGATCCTGCTAATGACTCTTTTTTGGTCCTTTCCCTTAGACTTTTGCAGACCAGATTTTTGGAATTTTCAACTGGACAATTCCGCTGGCAGTTGCATTATCCTGCTTTGGTGGCCTCAATGCCTCCATTGTGGCTGCTTCTAGGTGGGAGTGGTGCCTTTTATGGGGGGGGGAAGGGTAGGACTTACAGGACCCAGAGTTTAGTCACTGTGTTCCCCAAGTCATATTTACCCCTTTGTTGTTTCCATCAGCAGCCTCTAGTTCTCCCTAATCTCAAAACTGAACCCCATTCCGTATTCACTTTTTCGAAGGAGGGGAGGGCAGTGGGAGGGCTACGTGGCATGTGAACCAGCCCCACCCAGTGTCCCCCAAGTTTCTCAGCCTCTCTCATCTTACCCAAAATAGGCTTTTCTTTGTGGGTTCAAGAGAAGGCCATCTCCCTGATGCCATCTCCCTGATTCATGTTGAGCGGTTCACACCAGTACCTGCTCTGCTCTTCAATGTAAGTGACCTCAAGGATGGGGCGGACTGTGTCAGGGGCCCACGAGACTGTGGGGGAAATGTTAACAGAAGTGGGGGCACCTGGTTAAGCGTCCGACTTCATTTCAGCTCAGGTCATGGTCTCAGGGTCGTGAGATCAAGCCCCACGCTTAGCGTGTAGTCTGCTTAAGGCTCGCTGTCCCTCTACCATCCCCCCCCCAACAAATAAATCTTAAACAAAACCAGTAGAAGCAACTGTTCTAGCTTTCCCAAAACCTTATAGAATTTAATAGAAAAATTATCTTAAAAAAAAAGTAACCTCCTCTGGTCTAGGATAAAGCGTAAAGTACACTGAATATAATGAAATGACTGCCGTGATAGTAAATGACATAGTGCTTAAGGGAAAAATGATCTTCCATGGGAATAGAAGGTAAAGGAGGAAAGACTTCTTAGACAAAGTGCATTTGTTTTTAAAAAAAAGATTTGAGAGAGCGTGTGCACAGGGGTGAGGGGCAGAGAGAGAGGGTCTTTTAAGCAGACTCCGTAGGGAGGGCGGAACCGGACACGGGCTTGAACTTGTGACCCTGAGATCCAAGTCTGAGCCAAAACCAAGGGTCAGACGCTTACCTTACTGAACCACCCAGGCGCCTCTAGACAAAGTACATTTGAAGTGGATTTTTAAGTTTAGGTTGCAAAAGGTGGAGATGGGCTTTAAGTTAAGAGAAACAGTATGAAGGGGGGGGCACCTGGTTGGCTCAGTCGGTGGAGCATGCCAACTCTTGGACTTGGGGGCGTCGTTTGAGCCCCATGTTGGACTTAAGAGTACTTAAAAAATAAAAGGCACTAAAACCCCCCCCCCCCAAAACCGTATCAAAGTCCTGGGGTAAAGCAGCGTGAAGTTGGGTAGGAGATAAAGCCTGGAAATGTAGGTTGGAGCCATCATGGAGAGGCTCTTCAGCAAAAGATTTGTGAGGAATTGTTTTGATCTGTGGCAAAGGTTGAAGAATGGGCCTGAAAAAAACAATCGAGAGGCCCCTGGCTTACTAGAAAAGGAGCTATTGTCACTAGGGTGCTGAAGCATGTGGGAACAGAAGAGGACTGGGGGGGCGGGGGAGGAGAAACCCTGAGGCCTTTCGAAGGGGGAAGCGCGCCTTCAGGCCGAGAGAGGAGCTGACGTGGGCTTGCGCCTCCAGGGTATCATGGCACTGATCTACCTGTGTGTGGAGGACATCTTCCAGCTCATTAACTACTACAGCTTCAGCTACTGGTTCTTTGTGGGGCTCTCTATTGTGGGTCACCTTTATCTGCGCTGGAAGGAGCCTAATCGGCCTCGTCCCCTCAAGGTACGCGACCTCCCTCCTCCCTCTGCCTGGGCCTCGGGGGCGCCAGGGCGTGAGGAAGGGCGCGGAGAGGCTCAGCAGCTTCCCCGCCCCCCCCCAGGAGGGACTAGCACAGCTGCCCTGCGAGCTGAGCCCGTTTCCTCTGTGCCTGCAGCTCAGCCTCTTCTTCCCCGTGGTCTTCTGCCTCTGCACCATCTTCCTGGTGGCTGTGCCACTTTACAGCGACACCATCAACTCCCTCATCGGCATTGGCATTGCGCTCTCAGGCCTGCCCTTCTACTTCCTCGTCATCAGAGTGCCAGAACACAGAAGACCTCACTGCCTCCGAAGGATTGTGGGTAAGCCTTTGGGTCTTCAAGCTGACCAGCTATCGTGTGGCCGTCCCCCCTACCCCGTCAGCTTTGCCCTAGCCCCTCCTCGTTGTTCACTGTAAGGCTTCATGGAATTAGCCCTCAGGCCAGCCCCGGTCAGTGCCACCGGAGTTGAGCCCAGCTGACCTCTTCTCAGTCCTGACTCACGTTTCTCTTCGTAGCATCCGCTACATGGTACGTCCAGGTCCTATGTATGTCAGTTGCTGCAGAGATGGATTTGGAAGATGGAGGAGAGATGCCCAAGCAACGAGATCCCAAGTCTAACTAAATACCATCTAGAATCAAGCCTGAGATGTGGAAAGCAGGGGCCTCTTGTCTCTTACTGGCTGGAGCCAAGGAAGATGAAAAGGGAAAGTACACCTCTTTGTTGAAGCTGCTCAGACCAGGCTTCTGGACAGGTGCCTTCAATTTTTGAACTTGCTGTTTGAGAGATGAAAAGTAATTTATTTGTTTTGCTACCCATTGCTTTATTGTCCCTTTTAAAAAAATCTGGAACAGACTGTGGTGGGGAGCATGTCAGGTGTGGGCTTGGTTTTACTAGCAGCACATTCCCACGTGTTAAGATACTCATTCACCTCTGGGTGTGCCCAAGCACTCCTTTTCCTTTAAAAGGGCCAATAATGCTCCGAACTTCCTGTCTCCTTTAGAGAGACATGAAACTGTCACAGGTGCTAGATAATAAAAGGGTGATGTTCTAGGGTGCCTGGGTGGCTCAGTTGGTTAAGCGACTGCCTTCGGCTCAGGTCATGATCCTGGAGCGCGGGATCGAGTCCCGCATCGGGCTCCCTGCTCGGCGGGGAGTCTGCTTCTCCCTCTGACCCTCTTCCCTCTCGTGCTCTCTCTCATTCTCTCCCTCTCAAATAAAATCTTAAAAAAAAAAAAGGGTGATGTTCTAAACTTTGAGTGGCTTCATTTTAGATAGGTCTTGTGCTTGAAAGTATCTGAGTATTTCTTTCCTTTCAAGTCAGGTGCTGGTGGCTGATGCAACCACTCTATACTAGTGAACACACCTAAGCTGCTTAGCAAAATGATTATTTTATAGCATCCTGAGATAAACCCATGTATGGGGTGGGAGTGTAAGCTCGTAATGCCAGGTTACAATGCTGAGGCACTTCCTAAGAGCACAGGCAGGAGCAATCCCCAACTGATCTAGTCTTCAGTTGTCTGAAGCACACCATCTGTTTCCCTGTTTAATAAAGTATCCGGAAGCAGCATGTAGTTCAGAGGTTTACTGATTCTGTGGCTGGCAAGATCCCTTGGCTCTTTTACATTTAGGTGTGAGAGTCTGTAATGGCAACCACTCTTAGAAGGAAGATCTCAACACCCCACGGTTTCTAGGTCTGGGGCAAGGACTCCGTGTCAAATCTGTTCTGATGCCAAGTCTTTGAAGAGAGAGCTCCTACCAGTCTGAGCAGGAACGGAATTCAGCCCAGCGTGTCACGCCAGGGCTGCTTTGGCTTGGCACTGCTGCCATTAGGGGTGCTGGGAGGCTGATTCTTTCCATGCTGTAGCAATGGGTTGTGGGTAAAGGTCTGTCGTAAGGGACCTAGGGCAAGAGAAAACAAATCTCAACGAACGAAGGAAAGGAAGAAATAAATCCCAGAATTTAGACCGCAAGGGTTATTTACCCCTGGCAGCTAGTTCTAAGTGATTCTGCATGCGTCGTTCGCGCTCTTTGAGCTGATGTGCCAGTTCAGCATTCTTCCATCCTGTGTAAAGAGGAGGAAGATGGTGGGTCCTAGGCCCATTTTTAGACTACTTCCCCCCAGTCCCGTTTCACTGAGGACAGACCCTTACCTCTTTTGAAGCTTTTTACAAAACCTTCCCGTGGAAGTAATTTATTGGAGTCATGCACAACACGCTGGGGGATTTTAAGTATAGTCCGTACGGCTGGAATCCGGAGGCAAGTCACCTGGACCAGGGAAAACATATTGGAGGAGAGCCAGTACATGAACACCGCCTGAAGGAAAAGAGAGAGACAGTACTGAGGAGCTGTCCTCTGCTGTCAGCTTGATGGCAGATGGCTAGGCTAGATGCAAAGGCCTGGAGCCAGTTCCTAAGCCATTACCTACCGTGGGGAAATGGATAGTTATGGGCAACACCGCTAGGGGCATCACTCTGATCACATTTCTCATCCACTGAAGATCAGAACTTTGCACACCAGTCTCCGCACCTAACTGCCAAAAAAAAAAAAAAAAGCAATTGCACATCATTTCTAGAGAATCTGGCTCAGATTTCAACCCATCAATTCTACTTTATCTCTACTCCCCACTTTGCAGGCCTGGCACTTAGCCAACCTGGGCTTACCTCAAGGACACCCCACATTGTAGCAGTGACCACCAGTGGTAATATGTAGGTGGGGTCAGATAGTGTGAGATCCTGGAACCACAGGAGGCCACCTGTCTGCATGCTGGGCACAGGAAGGTTGGCCATTTCTCTCAAGGCAATGAAGAAGGAGATGAAAATCGGGGCCTATTACACAGGATAAACAGTGTCAGGACCTTTTAGCAAAGGGGACATTTTCATTACTCCATCAATGAAAACCTTACCACCACCCCTGCTCTTTGGGAGTCTAGCGCATGGGAAACACAGGAGTTTATCTGACTGGTGTAAGATAAAATAAGAAGGAAAATGTTTTTGCTTACCTGAGTCAGAGGTAGAATAAGAGGTCTAAAGAGTTTAACATCATGCTTTTTCTGGTAAAATGTCATTTCCGAGGAGGCCTTGTAAACTGTGAATGAGGGGAAGTTAATGGTTGGGCTAATAATTACATCGATGGAGGTGACCATCCTTACCACCTGGCCCATAAGATTTCTACCTGACCCTGGCCAGTCACTGGAAACATTAGGCCCAAGAAGCAGGTAGATCTTTAGAACTTGCCCACTTCTAGCAACCCTCAGCAGAATGTCAGGAAAGTGCAAACATGGTCCTCTCCTATGTGCATTCCGCAGTTGACTCACACTCAGCATTGTCTCCTGCCAACTTGGCCTCTCTGATTCGAGCGGAAAACTTCTGGATCTCTGGCAAGTGGTTGTGGATCTTGGCTGCTTCTCGCTGGCCCTTCACGATGAGAGGAAACACCAGGCAGCGGGCAAGGACAGTACCTGGAAAACACAAACTAGGACTGGAGTGAAATCAAAGCAGTTCTACAGTTGGAAGGTTGAAGGTTTTTAGGTCCTCACTGAAAGGCCCTTTTTTTATTCTAGTCTTTTCAACACTGTGATGCCTGCTGAAGGAACCCAAAACAAAGGGCAGGAGTGACTTGGTTCCTTCAAGGCTCAGTTCTCTGCTTTGACCTCACAAAAGTCTAACATTAACTTCTGTAAGCAAATGGCCAGGGATACCGTTTATTTCCTCGAACAAAAGGTGAGAGAAGATACTTTTCTAGATCAGTGGTATCTGAACTTTTCTATTATCAATGGAATCTCCCTACCCTCAACTCTTTAAGTGTAGCCCCAATTTACATAAGAGATAAAACCGAGCTGCTCTGAGAGAGTAGTCTGGCTACAGAACTGTTCAAGCTCTGGCCTTTGCTTTTCTCAGAGGCACCATACACAACTCTGGGAACTTCAGGAATGAAGTTTGAAAGCCACTATCCTAGAAATCCCTAGGGTAGGAAGTAATCTGGTGGCTTACTGCTTTAGCTCCTCCCCATTTCTTATACTTCCTATTTCCTGATCATTCCAAAAATATTTATTTAGTTTATCAGTAGACAAGCAAGAGGGTCTGGGCTGAGAAGAGGGTGGTGGTGCAGGGGGGAATATGGGCTTAGGCTTTATCAACATTATGATGGCTGCTATGGCGTGGGAAGAGAGGGAAGCTAAGGATGAAACTGAGAATACTAGCCCTGAAGGAGCAGACTGAGAACTGGGCAATGGCAATGGCAAGATGTGGTCAGAAAGACAAGAAGAAAATCAGGAAAGATGATCACAAAAGCCCAGGGAGAGATTTCAAGGTCTAAAATGTCTAATACAGGACCCTAGGCCCAAGGGGATCAAAATGGAGGAGTAGGAAAGATCCTGGGCTTACATCCGCTCAAGGATATACCAAAATGTACAACTACATATAGAACTATCGCTGTGTAAAGAACTTTAGCAAAACAGATCTTAACACCTAAGGATATAAAGAAAAAGTCATTTTGAGTTGGGTAGGAGGCAGAGACAAGGTCTAGTCAGGACCCACGAGTAGGAGGGATACCATAACCATAAAGACTCTCCCTGTGAAACAAGGGGTCCAAGCCCCATATTGGGTTCCCAGCCCTACACTAGGAAGACCAGCCCCTACAACCTCTGGTTTTGAAAACCAGCAAGGCTTATGCCTGGGAGGTGCAACACAATCTCACTTGCTGAAGTTCCAGCACAGAGGCAGCAGTTTGAAAAATGCCTGGGCTACAGGCGAAGGAGATGCACGGACTGATTTTAGGGCATGTCCTGGAAGGGCAGGGATCTGTCGGAACAGTCTCTGGGGATGGACAAGCTGGCAGGCACCATTTCTGACATTCTCCATCTACTGTGCTAGCACCAGCTTGCCCAGCCCAACCGACCCACAGGCCAAGAGCCCTTCTTAAGAGGCTCCCTGCCCCTGCCACACCCAGCAGGTGGCCTCAGCCTGCACCAGAGCCACCCCCACCAAGCAGCCCCTGCCTTGTGTATATGAGAGCACCTGCAGCAGCTGGACCTCACAGTCTGCCACACAGGAGGCCTGCCCTCCCCACCAGTGGAATGGAGCTGTCACAGCTGGGCTTTGTAGCCAGCTGTGCTGAGGCCAACCCCACACACTTACCCACCCAACAACAGTAGTGGCTGGACCTCTCAGACAGGATGGGGGGCAGTCCTGCTTACCAGCATACCTGAAGAAGCTGTGGCTGAATCTTGCAGACAGCTGTGTCAGGGGACAGCCCTGCAAACCACTGAGTCTATACCAACAGTGACCCAGCCACAAGAGGGTGCACGCAGCCCACACAAAGAACCCCTAGGGCACCTGGCTCAGGTGACTAGGAAGTTTGCACTACTGGACCTCACAGGACACCTGCAAAAAGCTACTCCCCTTCAAGACCAGGAGAAAGAACTAATCTAACTAATACAAAGAAACACAGGGTTAGGCAAAACGAAGAAACAGAAGAGTATGTTCTAAATGAAAGAATAATACAAAACCTCAGAAAAAGAACTAAACAAAAGAGATGAGCAATCTACCAGGTAAAAAGGTCAAAGTAATGGCCATAAACATACTCACCGAACTCAAAAGAATGAACACAATGAGAACTTCAACAGAAACGATTTAAAAAAAAAACAACAACAACCAATCAGAGCTGAAGAATACAGTAACTGAAATAAAAAGTCCACTGGAGAGATTCAATAGCAGATTACGTGATGCAGAAGAATGAATCAGCGATCTGGAAGACAAGGTAGTGGAAATCACCCAACTGGAACAGCAAAAAGGAAAATACCAAGGATAGTTTAAGGAACCTTTGGGACAACATCAAGTGTAACTAACATTGGCATTATAGGGATCCCAGAAGAAAGAGAAAGGGACAGAAAACCTGTCAGCCGAGAAATTCCCTAACCTGGCAAAGGAAACAGACTTTCAAGTCCAGAAAGCACAGAGAATCCCAAAAAATTGAGCCTAAAGAGACTCACACTAAGACTAATCAAAATACCAACAGTTAAAGAATCTTAAAAGCAGCAAAAAAAAAAAAAAATCAACTAATGACATACAAGGAACCCCCATAAGACAATCAGCTGATTTTTCAGCAAAAACTTTAAAGGCCAGAAGAGAGTGGCACAATATATTCAAAATGCTGAAAGGAAAAAACTTAAAACCAAGAATACTCTACCTGGCAAGGTTATCACTCAGACCAAAGGAGAGATAAGGAGTTTCCCAGACATGCAAAAGCTAAAGAGTTCATCAACACCAGACCAGCCTTATAAGAAATGTTAAAGGGACTTCTCAAAACAGAAAAGGCCATAATTAGGAATAATTATGAAAAAAAAAAAAAAATCTCACTGGTAAACATATAATAAAGGTAGTAGATAATTACCTACATAGCTAGTATGAAGGTTACAATAGTAAAATCATCTAGACCTACAATAATTAGTCAAGGGATACACAAAATATTAAATTCTAAGATATGATGTCAAAACCGATGTGGGAATTTTTTTGTATAACCTACCCATTCAAATTATTATACAATTATTTCACAGGCTTTCTAAATAAAAGTTTTAAACCTTGGGGGGCAAAAAAAACAAAATGTGGGAAGGGGGGACTAGTACTTTTATATTCCACTTGAACTTAAACCATCAACTTAAAATAGATTTATATACACAGAGTGTTAAATATTAACTTCATGGTAACTATAAACCAAATACCTATAATAGACATACAAAAATAAAGAGAAAGGAATATAAACATAACACTAAGGAAAGTCCCCAAATTACGAGAACAAGAGAAGACAGGGTCAGAGAAGAACTACAATAACAACCGGAAATCAATATAATGGTAAGAAGTAGGGGTGCCTGGCTGGCTCAGTCAGTAGAGCATGTGATTCTTGATCTGGGGGTCCTGAGTTCAAGCCCCATACTGGGTATAGAGGTTAAGAAAATGGTAAGAAGAATATATGTATCAGTAATTAAATGTAAATGAACTACATGTTCTAATCGAGATACAGGGTGGCTGATTAAAAAAAAAAAAAAGACCCATCTATACGCTGCCTATAAGAGACTCACATGTGAGACATAGAGAGACAGACTGAAAGTGATGGAAAAAGATACTGCATAGGGGCACCGGGGTGGCTCAGTTGGTTAAGCGTCTGCTTTTGGCTCAGGTCATGATCCCAGACTCCTGGGATCGAGTCCTGCATCGGGCTCCCGGCTCAGCAGAGACCCTGCTTCTCCTCTGCCTCTCTCGCTCTGTCTCTCATGAATAAATAAACAGAATCTTAAAAAAAAAAAAAAAAAAAAGATATTGCATGGAAATGGAAATGAAAAGAAAGCTGGGGTGGCAATACTTGTATCAGACAAAATAGTAACAAGAGACAAAAAAGGGCATTATAAAATGAATAAAAGTATCAATCCAAAAAGAGAATATAACACCTGTAAATATCTATGCACCCAACACAGGGGCAGCTAAATACATAATGGAAATGTTAACAGACAAAAAGAAATCGACAGTTATACAATAAAGGTAGGAGACTTTAACACCCCCATTAACATCAATGGATAGATTGTCCAGACAGAAAATCAGTAAGGAAATTGTTGCTTTAAACAACACATAAGACCAGATGGACTGGGGTGCCACCTCAGTGGCTCAGTCAGTTAAGCATCCGCCTTTGGCTCAGGTCATGATCCCAGGGTCCTGGGATTGAGCCCCATGTCGAGCCTGCTTCTCCCTCTGCCCCTCCCCCTGCTTGTGTTCTCTCAAATAAATAAAATCTTAAAAAACAAACAAAAAAAATACTCACAAAAACACGAGACCAGATTGACTTAATAGATATATACAAAGCATTCCATCCCCAAAAGGCAGAATACATGGGTGCCCGGCTGGCTCAGTCAGAAGAGCATGAGACTCCTGATCTTGGGGTAGTGAGTTTGAGCCTCACACTGGGTATAGAGATTACTAAAAATAAATAATAAACTTAAAAAAAAAAAAAAATCCCAAATGGCAGAATACACATTCTTTTCTAGTGCACATGCAACATTCTCTAGGTAATATCACATGTTAAGCCCCAAACCAAGTCTTAACAAATTGAAGACTGAAATCATATCAAGCATCTTTTCCAACCACAATGGGATGAAATTAAAACTCAATTACAAGAGGGAAAAATGGAAAAACCAAATATGTGGAGGCTAAACAACATGCTACTAAACATCCAATGGGTCAAGGAAGAAATCAAAGAAAAAAAAAACTTAAGATAAATGAAGATGGAAATAGTTCAAAGCCTATGGGATGCCACAAAAGCAGTTCAAAGAGGGCAGCTTATGGGAGTATAGGCCTACCTTAGGAAACACGAAAAATTCAATCTAACCTTACAGCTAAATGAACTAGAAAAAGAACAAAGCCCAAAGTTAGTAGAAGGAGGGAAATAATATTAGAGCAGAAATAAATGAAATAGACTAAAAAAGCAATGGAGAGGATCAAGAAAACTAGAGATGGTTTCTTAAAAAAGATAAAAAAAAATTGCTAAGGCTTTAGCCAGACTCATCAAGAAGAGGGCCCAAATAAAATCAGAACTGAAAGAATTAACCACCAACACCACAGAAACACAAAGGATTGCAAGACACTACTATAAACAATTATATGCCAACAAATGGGACCTAGAAGAAATGTGTAAGTTCCTAGAAACATACAATCTTCCAAAACTGAATCTGGAAGAAATAGAAAATTTGAACAGACCAATTACTAGTAATGAAATTGAATGGGCAATCAAACTCCCATCAAACAAAACTCCCAAGACCAGAGAGCTTCACAGGTGAATTCTACCAAACATTATAGAGGAGTTAATACCTATCCTCTCAAACTATTCCAGAAGATAGAAGAGGAAGAAAAGCTTCCAAACTTATTCTACAAGGCTAGCATTACCCAGATACCAAAACCAGACAAAGACACTAAAAAAAGAGAAAACTATACAGGCCAAAATCTGTGATGAACGTTAACAGATGCAAAAAACCTCAACAAAATATTACCAAACCATATTCAACAATACATTTAAAGGATGATTCACCCTGAACAAGTGAGATTTACTCCGGGAATGCAAGGACGGTTTAATATTCACGAAATCAGTGTCATTTACCACATTAACAAAATGAAAGAAAAATTGTACGATCATCTCAAAAGATGCAGAAAAAGCACTTGACAAAATTCCACATCCATTAAAGATAAAATCAACAAATTGGGCTTAGAGAGAATATACCTCACCATAAGAAAGGTCATATATGAAAAACCCACAGTTAAGGGGTGCCTGGATGGCTCAGTCTCTTAAGCATGGGCTTTAGGCTCAGGTCGTGATCCTAGGGTCCTAGGATCAAGCCCGGTGTCAGGCTCCCTGCTCAGCTGCTTGTGCGTGCATGCTGTCAAATAAGTAGAATCTTAAAAAAAAAAAAAAAAAGAAGAAAAGAAAAACCCACAGTTAACATCATACCCAATTAAACCTGAGAACATTTGTTTTAAGATCAGTAAGAAGCCAAGTATGTCCACTCTTGCCACTTTCATTCACACAGCCCTGGGAAGTCCTAACCACAGCAAAGAAAAAGTAATAAAAGGCATCCAAGTTGGTAAAGAAGTAAAACTGCCACTATTTGCAAATGACATGATAATGTACATAGAAAGCCCTAAGGACTCCACTAAAAAAATTACAAGTAATAAATGGAGTAAAGCTGCATGATACAAAATTAATATACAGATATCTCTTGTATTTCTATACACTAATTATGAAGTAGCAGAAAGACAAGAAACAACTCCATTTACAATTGCACCAAAAAGAATAAAGTATCTAGGGGTAAACTTAACTAAGCAGGTGAAAGACTTGTATTCTGAAAATTGTAAAAACACATAAAAGAAATTGAAGACAACACAAATAAAAGACACACCATGCTAATAGACTGGAAGAATACTGTTATAATGTCCATTCTACCCAAAGCAATCTACACATTCAATGCAATCTCTATCAAAATACCAATGCTACTTTTCATAGAACTGGAACAAATAATCCTAAAATGCGTATGGAACCACGCAAGACTTTGCACAGCCAAAACAATCTTAAGAACAACAAAACTGAAGGTATCACAATCCCAGATGTCAAGATATATTACAAAGCTATAAAATAGTAATGTACTGGCACAAAAATAGACACATAAGCCAATGGAACAGAGTCCAGAAATAAACCCACACTTATATAGTCAATTAATCCTTTTTTTTTTTTTTAAGATTTTATTTATTCATTTGAGACACAGAGATAGAGAGAGAAGAGCATGAGCAGGGAGAGAGGCAGAGGGAGAAGCAGGCTCCCTGCTGAGGCAGGAGCCCGATGTGGGGCTTGATCCCAGGACCCTGGGATCATGACCTGAGCCGAAGGCAGACGCTTAACCATCTGAGCCACCCAGGCGCCCCTACAGTCAATTAATCTTTGACAAAGATAGCAAGAATATACAATGGAGAAAAGAGTCTCTTTAATAAATGGTGTTCTTAAAAAAAAAAAAAAAAAAAAAAAGGCCACATGCAAAAGAATGAAACTACATCACCCTCTTACACCATATACAAAAATAAACCAAACTGGATTAAAGACTTCAATGTGAGACCTGAAACCATAAAACTCCTAGAAGAAAATATAGATAATAAACTTTTGGACATCAGCCTTAGCAATGTATTCCTGGATATGTCTCCCCAGGCAAGAGAAAACAAAACAAAATAAACTATTGAAACTGTACCAAAACAAAAAGCTTTTGCACAGTGGAGGAAACCATCAACAACAAAAAAGGCAACATACTGAATGGGAGAAGATATTTGCAAATGGTATAATCAATAAGGGGTCAAAAAAATGGTACAATTAAAAAATAGGCAGAGGACCTGAACAAACATTTCTCCAAACACATATGGATGGCCAACAGACACATGAAAAGGTCCTAAGTATCACTAACCATCAGGGAAATCCAAGTCAAAACCAAAATGAGTTACTACCTCAACACCTGTCAGAATGGCTAGAATCAAAAGACAAGAAATAACAAGTGTTGATAAGGATGTGGAGAAAAGAGAACCCTGGTGCACCACTGGTGAGAATGCAAAATAGTACAGCCCTGTGTCCAGCTCCATGCTTAGTGGGGAGTCTGGAAAGAGTTTCTTCCTCTGCCCCTCCCCTGACTAATGCACACACTTGCTCTTTCTCTAAAAAAATCTTAAAAAAAACACCAAAACCCCTAAACAAAAATATATATGCACCCCTAAGTTCACTGCATTTACAAGAGTGATGATATGGAGGCAACCTAAGTGTCTGTTGACAGATCAATGGATAAAGAAGGTGTAGTGTATAAACACACAACAGAATATTATGCAGCCATAAAAAAGAATGAGCTCTTAGCATCAGTGACATGGATGGACCTATAGGGTATTAGGCTATGTGAAATAAGACAGAGGAAGACAAACACCGTATAATTTCACTTATATGTGGAATCTAGAAAACAAAACAGACTCACAGATACAGAGAACAATCTGGTTGCCAGAAGGGAGGAGACCGGAGAAGATGGGCAAAATAGGAGGTAATTGAAAGGTATAAGCTTCCAGGGGTGCTAGGCTGGCTCAGTCTGTGGAACATGCGGCTCTTATCTAGGGGTTGTGAGTTCGAGCCCCACACACCCAATGTGTGGGTCAGGATTATGACCCTGAGATCAAGAGCTGCATACTTCATCAGCTGAACACCAGCCAGGCGCCCCAGGGATTGCTTAAATAAACTTAAAACAACAACAACAACAACAAAGTATAAACTTCCAGTTACAACTAAAGATGACCCAGGGATGCAATGTACAGCATAGGGAATATAGTTAATATATTGTAACAACTTTATATGGTGACATGGTGATCACTTCATAATATACATATATGTTCAACATATATATAAATGTTGAATCACTATCACTAACATAATATTGTATATAAACTACACTTCAATAAAATAAACTGGAGGGGCACCTGGGTGGGTCAGTCATTAAGCATCTGCCTTCGGCTCAGGTCATGATCCCAGGGTCCTGGGATCGAGCCCTGCATCGGGCTCCCTGCTCTGCAGGAAGCCTGCTTCTCCCTCTCCCACTCCCCCTGCTTGTGTTCCCTCTCTTGCTGTGTCTCTGTCAAATAAATAAAACATTAAAAAAAAAATTGGAAAAAAGTGTCTAACACAGAAAGTATGAAAAGAATAATGGGTTTAATAATGATGTCACTGACAAAATGAGGTGGTATTAGTAAGTCAGATTGCTAAAAAGGTCAGACTGCTGAGTGTCAAAGAGTGGAAAGAAAGAAGTCCACTGCATGCAGAACAGTCTTTTAAATAAAAGCTATGAAAGGAGAAAGAACTAAGGATGAAAAGAAGGGACTTTTCCTCAAGAAATCCATGGTATACTTGAACATCTTTGTATTTTCAGAACAGGGCAGTAAAAAGAGAGAGGCTGAAGACCTAGGAGCAAGGGTAGGAAGAACAGAATTTAAAGTATAGTTTTAGCCTACAAGAGGAACAATGTGGGCACCTTCCAATTTGGGGGGGGGGGGGGCGGCGGATTTAAGCGCCTGGCCTGACCTTCTATTCTCCTAAACCAGGGCAACTTCATCACTGTTAACAAGGTCTCCTTACTCTAACCCCATGCTCACATTAAGTATCTACACTTGTTGAATCCCAGGTGATCCAATGGTTTTATAATGCCCTTTAATAAAGATAAATAGAGTGTATCTAAGGATCAAGAGCCTCTATCCCTCATCTGAATCATCTGCTTTTCTGACCCCTAAACTTCTGCAACTACAGTTGACCCTTAACAAAAGGGGTTTGAACTGCGTGGGCCCACTCATATGGGTTTTTTTTTTTTTTAAAGTACTGTACATGTATTTTTTCTTCCTTACTTTATTGTAAGAATACAGAATACATGTAACATACAAAACATGTACTAATTGACTGTTCACCAGCAAGGCTTCTAAGAGTAGGCTATTAGTAGGTAAGTTTTTGAGGAGTCAAAAGTTATACGTGGAATTTCAGTGTGGGGTGGGGTTAGTGCCCCTAACCCCCAGGTCGTTCAAGGGTCAACTGTATTTCCTCCATCCACTTACAGAACTGCTGTCTTTAAAGTTCTACCCCTGAAGTTCCCACTTCTATGCTTGACCAGGATGTGTTTCCCTTACATGCAGCAATGGCCCCCCACCAAGGTAGGCCTAGGTTAACATGCATAAATTCCAGTAAGTTCTGAATCAGTCCCACTGGGGTGTATGACCCCAGCCCCAGTTCAGCGAAGCTCTGTCCTGCAGCAGCTTGGATTACATCTGCGGTCTCTCCAGAAGCCACCTCGGGTACTGCTGTGGGTGAGGGAGTTGCAGGAATGACAGGAGGGGCCTGAACCTGTGCAAAAGGAAGTCTTGTGTAATACTCAGTAGGGGGGACATATAGCAATCACCGGCCCAAGATAATAACTAGTATCAGGTTGTTCTACGGGCTTTCTACTTTTTGTTCTCCCAGATTAGTCTACAGTGTACACAAAATTCAAGGCTTAAAAAGGACATTTTATTTTTTTCCTCTAGGCAGGAAGACAAGTTACTTAGAGTAAGATTTCATGACTTCCCTTCCTATTATTATTTCTTCTATCAGTGTTTTCCAAACTTGTCATTTGAGTATCACTGGCACGATTTTGCAGATACTGAAACTGTCGTAATTTTTATTTAAAACAATTCAGTTTTGAAGACCAAAATATTTACTTGGTCTCACCAGCAGAAATATTAATACCCACGAAGTCAGTGATATGCAAGTTATAACTTTTCTAATACACATGCACACCTGGAATCACATCTCATACACCATCAGCGGCTTGCCACCATTATGGCAAACAATACCTTGTATATAACATACATTTCTCCTGCTGTACTCTCATTTTCCCACTGATTGGAAAATCTATCCCAAGTTGAGATGCTACTATTCTGGGGAGCTGCATGGAGTGTGGCCAAGAACTCTGTGCCACATTTCCCCTCCTTGTAGTTAAAAAAAAAAAAAAAAGAAATCAACCAACAAACGCTACCCCTTATGTCCCAGGGACGAATCGCCTCTTACCTGGGATTCTGCGAACAAGATCACGGAGGTACTGAGACCCCGGGGACCAGGGCCCGCGAGGAGGACATAGTGCGGGCGCTCGCAGCACCGGCCGGTTGGAAAGAGGAGTCCCGAGGTCAGCGGTTTCCGCGGCCAATGAGAGGGCCCTGAGACGCTGTGGAACTGAGAGAGTAAAAGAAGGATGGAGCCCTTTTATCAGGAACAGATGTCGCTCATCATGCTCATTCGCCACGAAGCTGCCAGCCCGTTACCACAGATGAAGGCACTACTACTCCGCGCGCAGACGGCTGGCCCGATGGCATGCAATTGGTGCGGCCAGGCTCTCGGTTACCGTAGACCCACCCCGGAGCACAGAGGTCGAGGCTGAAGTTTCTGTGGCATGGGTAACGACGGTCAGACCCACGAACAGACAACAATACGCGGCCGCTGAGCCCGCAAGGTCGGGGAAGTAACCGTTCCGTGTACTCATGCGAGCCGAGGTCAAGAGAGGCAGGTCCCGGTGAGCAGGTCAGCGTCTGCTCAGGCTGCTCCTGGCACGAGCTGTTTCTGGCTCGGGCCACGGGGATAGGGCCGCATCCTGGTGCTCAGCCCCGGGGGATCCTTACCTGACGCTGTGGCCGTAAAAGGCGCAGAAGCTCCCGGCGTCCGCTCACCAGGCTCATCGCCATTTTGCCGGGAAGAGGAATTGCGCTCGCGCTTGCGCACTCAGAACTTCAGCCTCGCGGGAAGAGGCCCTTTTGGAAATGGGCATGAAGCCAGAGCTGTTGCCACGATCAGGTGGTAAAGGAGACTGGAACTTAGCGGCCATATTTGAAGTGGGTAAGAAGACGCTAAGGGCCTTATTAACAAGATCGCGCAGCGTGTTCAGGAGATTGAAAGGAGATTGAAGAGCCACTTGAGGGGCCCTCACGCAGTGACTGCAAAAACCTGGGGATTTTTTGCTCCGTTCTGTAAATCCGCGATTCTCCTCTCATTTGTTGATTTAAAAAACAAGTTCCGGACAGTCTTGGCTGTGCTTGGCGTGGCTTTTTCCTGTCCGGTGATACTCGATTCTTACTGCTAGATAATATTGTAATTACAGATTAAGTGAAATGTGAGGGTAGTCCGGCGTCTGACAGAAATTGAGGGACGGCAGCTTGTAGGAAATATTTTCCACCCAGATAAAAAGGCAAAGTTTTAAGAGGGGACCCCACCTTTCACCTTTCCTTCCTTAAGTGGGGTTGTGTGAGGATCATCTTGTGACCACGAGTGGATAAATCTAAAACCAACGTGTTGAAGATGGTGGTACGGAAAGAGAAAAACCCTGAATACTTGCTGATGTTCTTCAGGTGCTGCACCCGACTTGGTACCATCTGTATCTAGACTTTCTTGTGTAAGATAATTAAAGGTCTTTATTATCCAGACTCCAGGCCTGTGTTGCTTTGGTGTTTTGTTTCTTGAAGCTGAAAGCATTCCTAAAGATGCATGAGGTGAAATTCTCTCCTAAAGAAAAAAAGATTTCTGTTCCGAAAGGTGGGAATTGGTTATATTTGAGCTCCTACAAAGTCTCTCAAATTAGAGTGCTCCCCCCACCCCCAGAGTGCTTTTTGAATAACCTATTTTTGGAAAGATACAATAGCCTGAAATTATTTCAGTCCCTGCTATTTGGGGATGATTATGAATGTGATATGGGAAATAAAGGCAGCAGAAAAACTGAATTTCCTTATGACTTACAGCCCACTGACAAGTCCTTGAAACTGCAGAGTGACCTTCCTCTAGAACTCAGCCTCAATGTTAATACTTTGCTAAGGGCAAAAGGCAATCTTAGCTTAACATTATCTCAACCCCCCAGGATCCTGTAGGTCTACTTTAACATATAAAAATTCCTTTGGAAACTTCTTTTTATCTCTACCCCGAAAATAAACGTTGCCAGTCATCCCCCAAGCGTATGACCCACCGATTTACATCTGAAGGATCTCATGACTAAGGTTTTATTAGACAGTAATAAATGACCTCATCCCAACAATAGCTAGCCCCCCTCAAGGTCCTGGAAACCTTGCTTCCAAAATTCCTTAGAGACATACGGTATCCCTAACCCCCTCCCAACTTGAAAGTGTATAATGGGCCGCTTCTTATGACCCCAGTGCTGCTCTTTCTGCCCACAGGGCCCTATCCCTGTTCTTTAATAAAACCACCTTTTTACACCAAAGGCAGCTCAAGAATTTTTTCTTAGCTGTCAGCTTTGAATCCTAACATCTTTCCTACATCTAGTGTACCTGACAGACACGGTAAAGATAGGCAAAAAATATAATCCAGATTTAGTAATAATAGGGATTATCACCTATCAATCACATATGTTGGATATTATTGTAAATAAGATTTTATTTTATTTTTTATTTTTATTTTTTTTAAAGATTTTATTTATTTGACAGAGAGAGACACAGTGAGAGAGGGAACACAAGCAGGGGGAGTGGGAGAGGGAGAAGCAGGCTTCCCGCGGAGCAGGGAGCCCAATGCGGGCCTCGATCCCAGGACCCCGGGATCATGACCTGAGCCAAAGGCAGACGCTCAATGACTGAGCCACCCAGGCGCCCCTGTAAATAAGATTTTAAAGTTTACCTTAAAAGATTAACCCAGTTAGAGGTGATGACAAATATACAACTATAGGATACTTGGGAGAAAAAAATCAAACTGTTACTTTGGTGGCCCCAAATGAACCATCGTTGTAGAGCCTTGTATAGCCACTGTGGAAAACAGTATGGAAGTTTCTCAAAAAATTAAAAAGAGAACTACCATATGATCCAGAAATCCCATGTCTGGGAATATATCTGAAGGAAACAAAGACAATACATCAAAGAGATATCTGTACCTTCATGTTCACGGTAGCATTATGTATAATAGCCAAGACATGGAAACAATCCAAGTATCTGTGGAAGGATGAATGGATAAAGAAAGTGTGGTATAAATAGACAATGGAAACTTATTCAGTTGCAAAAAAGAGGGAAATCCTGCCATTTGTGACAACATGGATGGACCTTGAAAGCATTATGCTAAGTGAAATAAGTCACACAGAGAAAGACATATACTGTATGATCTCACTTTTATGTGGAATTAAAAAAAACTCATAGAAAAGGAGATCAGATTTGTGGTTACCAGAGGCGGGGGGGTGGGGAGGTGCAGAATAGGATGAAGGTGGTCCAAAGGTACAAACTTCCAGGTATAAATAAGTACTGGGGATGTAATGTACAACATGGTGACTATGGCTAATATGCATATTTGGTATGGTATATTTGGAAGTTGTTAAAAGAGTAAATCTTAGGAGTTCTCATCACAAGATAAAAACGATTTTCTCTCCTTTTCTGTATATGACATGATGGATGTTAACTAAATCTATTGTGGTAATTATTTTGTAATATATGTAAGTCAAGTCATTATGCTGTGCACCTTAAACTTATACAGTGCTGTATGTCAATTATACCTCAGTAAAGCTGGAAAAAAAGTTCTCAACACACACAAATTGTAACTACGCAAGGTGATGACTGCTAACTAACCTTACTGTGATGATTGTTTTGCAATATATATGTATATTAAATTATTACATTGTACACTTATACAATATTGTAAGTCAGTTATATCTCAATAAAGCTGGAAAAAGAAGATTTTGAGGAATATATAAAAAAATTCTAGGGGTGTTAGGGTGGCTCAGTCAGTTAAGCGTCCAATTCTTGGTTTCAGCTCGGGTCATCATCTCAGGGTCATGAGATCAAGCCCCTGAGTCATGCTCTGGGCTCAGCTCAGAGTCTGACTGAGATTCCCTTCCTCTCCCTCCTTTTCCGCCCCTCCCCCAGCTTGCCCAGGCACACAGAATCTCTCTCAAATAAATAAATAAAATCTTAAAAATAAATTCTACCAGAACTAACATGTAAATTAGGCAAGGTTGCTGGATACAAGGTCATACGCAAAAATCAATTGCACTTCTATACACTAACAATGAACAATTGGAAAATAAAAAATGCCATTTATAAGAACATCAAAACCAAGAAACATTTATAAGTACATTTAACAAAATATGAGTGTAAACAAACAAATCCAAAATATGTGTGTGACTTGTGGGGTCGGAAAACCCACAAACCCCAGCTACAAAACATTACTGAGAGAAAATTTAAAAAGGTCTAATCAAATGGAGAGATATACCATGTTGATGGATTTTAAGCTCAATATTGTTTAGAGGTTGATTCTTCTCAAAGTGATTTACAGCAATCTCAATAAAAATCCTAGCATTTTTGTAGAAATTGACAATTTATATGAAATATTTATATGAAATATGTAAAAGACCTAGAATAGACAAAACACTTTTCAAAATAGAACAAAGTTGGACGACTTACAGTACCAGATTTCAGGACTTACTATAAAACAACAATAAAAAAATAACAAAACAACAATAATCAAGACAGTGTGGTACTGGCATAAAAATAGACATTTAGACCAAAGGAACAGAATAGTGTCCAGAAAAAAATCCTAACATACATGATCAACATATTTCAATAAAATTGCCAAGGCAGGGGCACCTGGGTGGCTGAGTCATTACGGGTCTGCCTTAAGGTCATGATCCCGGGGTCCTGGGATCAGGCTCCCTGCTTGGCGGGAAGTCTGCTTCTCCCTCTCCCACTCCCCCTGCTTGTGTTCCCTCTCTCGCTGTGTCTCTCTCTGTCAAATAAATAAATAAAATCTTAAAAAGTAAAAATAAGAAAAATAAAACTGCCAAGGCAATTCAAAGGGAAAAGGAAATTCTTTTCAACAAATGGTGTTGGAATAACTGGCTATCCCTATAGAAAAAATTTGATCCTCAACTCTTAGCTTGTACTATATATAACAGTTAACTTAAAATGGCTCATAGTCCTAGGCTTAAAAGTTAAAACTATAATTTTTCTGGAAGAAAGCACAAAAGAAAATCTTGGAGTAGGCAGAGATTTCCTAGACAGGACACAAAAACATTAGTCATAAAAGAAAAATTTGATAAATAGGACTTCATCAAAATTTAAAATGCTTGCCTTTGAAAGGCATTATTAGAAAAATTAAAAGGCAAGCATAGACTGGAAAAATAATCACTATATATATCCAACAAAAGATTTGTATCTAGGATATGTAAGCGACTCTTTTTATAACTTACTGATTAAAAACAAAGCAACCTAATGAAAATGGGCAAATGTTTTGAACAGACATTTCACAAAAGGAGATACTAGAAAGAATAGCCAAAAATCAGGGCGCCTGGGTGGCTCAGTCGGGTGAGTGTCCAACTCTTGATCTCAGTTCAGGTCTTGATCTCAGGGTTGTGAGTTCAAGCCCTGAGTTGGGCTCCACGCTGGGCATGGAGTCTACTTAAAAAAAAAAAAAAAAAAAGGTAGCCAAAATCACATGAAGAGACACTCAAAATCATTAGTCATCAAGGAAATACAAAATAAAACCACAATGTTACATGATATACTACTACATACCTACTAGAATTGCTGAAAATAATACAATACCAGGTATTGTGTTGGGTATGTGAATCAAGTAAAACTTTCATAAATTGCTGGTAGGAATGCAAAATGGTATAATTACTTGGCAGATTCCTATAAAATTAAATGTATACTTACTAAATGACCAAGCAATACCACTTCTAGCTATTTTTTCAAGAGAAATGAAAATATATGTTCACAAAAAGACTTGTACAGGAGTATTCACAGCAGTTTTATTCATAACAATACCAAACTGGAAACAAATATTCACGTGTGTGACTAGATAAATTCCAGTATATTAATACAATGGAAGGCTACTCAGCAATAAATAGGAATGGACTAC